TTTAAAAATGCTCCGTGTATCACTGCAAAATCAGCTGCGTTAGATAACAGATTTTTGATTAAATGATTATGGCTATGCAAGCTTTCAGACACCCACAGCATGCTTCCAGATTATGAACTTCTTGTCAGCTGTGTCTGACGGCACATTAGGTGCTGGGCTAGACAACATTAAGTGTTTCCCTTGACTGATCTCCACTTTTTTTTTTACTGTTAGAGGCCTTCCATGCAACTCGAGCCCCTGTCCCCCTCCCCACACTCCTCTCGCCGCTGCTTCCAATTGCCGAGCACATAGCACACATTCCAGACATGTCATGGAGGGGGGCTCAGAGCCAGCTTTGACAGATCAGCAGTTAGTGATGATAGCGGTGGTCGCCTGGGATTCTCTCGCTCGCCTTTCATGTGGCCTGGCGATTTGACGTTTGTCAAGTGACCCCTGCAACCATGTCTTTCATTGTGCTGGCCTTTTAATGGCCTCAGATTAGGGAGCAGACAGCCGACAATGCAGGGGGCCAATAGCACAGCCTTTCCTTTTGGGGTTTTGTATGACCAGCTGGATTTGTTGAGTGTGTGAAAGAGTTTACCTGATGCGTCTAGGGTCGTAGACTTGGTCAGAATCGCACGTGATGCTTTCAGCACGTTGAGTGACAAGTAGGATTCGGATTTAAAAGTGGGGTTAAGGAATAAGCAGCCGAGGTCAAAGGCACATGTTTTCGTCTGTTTCATTTAAATTGCATCAATATAGAAAAACAGGACTCCGGAAGGCAGAGAAGGATTTTATTTTTTCACCAGTAAGTGTATTTCGTCTGACAGCTAAATTGCACCTCTTCATTGACTTCTGCAATTATCAGCTTTTATTCCAAATAGTACTGAAGTTTCTCTTTTTTGTACCAGGAGTTTGGAAGGTATCATTTGCTAGGCCTGTTTATGATATGACAGCACTCTTAATGGTTATGGCTATATAAAGTGAGGTCTTGCTGACCAAACTGAGATCCCAGAGGTTGGGAAAGAAAACTTTTTGGGCTTATCTCTCCCTAGTTTTTCACATTCTTGCATTCAAATGCAATCCAAATACAACGAGGCCTGAGAAATACAAGAAAAATAATTTCTCAGTCATGCAGATTAAATCAATCATACACATTATCAATGCAGAGGTTATAGCATATGTGAGGCAAACAATATTGAGGCAAGCAGTTCCGACTTTACATAAAGCATTTTTGCTTTGACAGTGTGGTTTTAGGAAGAAATCGCTTAATATTCGTGGGGAATGAGACAAAATGGGTGAATCTCATCAAATCAATAGAGATAAATTATAAATTGTGTTTGCATAAATAAATATTTTTCTTTTTTTATTGTGACATTATTTTCTTGATTATTACAATGAAATAAAATTAAGTACAATTTAAAATGAAGTGAAAATAGTTTACAATTAAGTAAATATACATCATAGTAGTGCTGGTTTGTGAGTTAATTTACTCTGAAATTAAAGTATGCAGATTGTACAATACAGTTTTGTTTTTTTGCATTAAAAACAAAGGAGGGGTTTAAACGTCATGACAATATTGTCATGGTGCAAAACAACATAAATAAATAAATACTTCATGATCCTAAAAATATAGAAAGTTGTATAATTTCATTTTTTTCTTTTCCCATTTAATTCAATTTTCCAGTGAAAAAAAAAAACCCCAGACCTTTCTTTGTGAGATTTACCCTCCAAACTCTAACATTTGAAATAACTTTCCCATTCGTTTCCTACAACGCTAGTGCAATCAAAGTGGCTTAAGTGACACTTTTGTGTAGTTTCTCTACATCTCTGGCTAATGCTGTTCCTTTGGCACTGGTAGATGAAATCACTTGTAAGGAAGAACGCTGAGATATGTCTTTGTTGTTAATTCAACAACATTCTGTCCTACAAAAAGGGGGGGAACGAAAGAAAAAAGCATAAAGGAAACAATAGAAGTGTTGCTAGGTTGCAAATTCTCTCAGAAAAGCAACCTTCTTTTGTTTTGCCACTTTCGCCTCTTTGAGATCTTCCACTGTGCGGATGGCCATGCACTTTCTTTTGGGAAGGGTGGGGAAGTGAAAGGGGAGGGTTCCGGTGTTTTTAGTAGCCAGGGATGAGGGTCCGTGAGCTGTCAGTGTGCCCATTTGTCCCGAGGGTGAGGAAGGCCTCCTGCAGGCCGAACTCTATGGAGGAATGCACTTCCTAAGGAGAAACTGTCTAAGCACTGAGCTAGCAGCTCATGGTAGGAATGTCAGGTCAAACACATCATGCTCTGGACCCCTCCTCTCCTCTAACAAGTGTGCTACTATGTTTTCCCACACAGATCATTTCCAGCATCTTATTGTTGAGATTTTAGTCTAGCAGTGAACTGCACCAGTCTGTTAATGTGTGGGTTGTGATTTTATTTTAAATCAATATTCCTGTTTACTTAACAAAAGAGTAAAACTCAATCGGCAATTGATTCTTCATTGCGGACTAATGAATTGGACAAGATGTTTCACCCAAGTAACAAAATAAAATGTGTTTTCACAGCTGTCTATTTTCTACAATTCTATCCTGCTGTAATAAGCTCATCAAAATAACATATATTTGACGAAGGAAAAATGTGAAAAGGTCAATTGAGAGGTTATTAAAGGATGGGCTATTATGTAATTTGTATTGTTTGGGCTGGGCTAGGGCTGTAGTCAAGACCACCTTTGTCGAGTCAAAGACCAGGACTAGTCGAGAGAGGTTAGAGTCCAAGACAAGACCGAGTCCAAAAAGGTTTGAGTCCGAGTCCGAGTCAAGACTGAGTCCAGGACAGGAAAAAAGTCTTGACATTAAATGACAATCATTTTGGGTTATTATTTGTTGATCTAAAAGCAAAAACAGTGTCACAACACCCAGGATTTTTAAGTATAGACATTCCCCTTGATATCATATAATCTTCTAATCTAAAGAAAAAAGAATGATGACATATGATGATACCTCGTAATAGCAGCGTTAGAACTGATACAAACACCAACCCACTACTATTAGCACTGCTAGGTACTAGTAGCCTACTGAGCATTTGAGCAACTAAATGACCATATAGCTTCACTCCAGTAAAATATATCTGTGGTAATTTCTTCACGTTAAACCGAACTTTTATTTTGACGGGTTTCTGAGTGTATCTGACGATGAAATGCTGAAGATAAACGTGTACTTGAGTATGTGTAGTACACGAACCTGCGGCACTCACTTGCAGAGACTCGCTAAAAAATCAGATTTGATAGCAGTCTTTAATATTCACAGTGACTAGTCCATATAGCAATTTCATATTATGATTGGCAGTGAATAGACAGATCTGTTATTTCAGCTATGCGCCGGTATTGCAGTAGCAAATAGTAGAAAGGAAATCACACTTGTCAATGACGGGCATTACAATCTGCGGTAATCTGCGGAGGTTTCTGTGGAAGTCTGCCGGTGCATACTACAATAATACGTTACTGTGGGAACATAAAAAAGACACCTGGACTCGGTCGAAACCAAAAGCCATATTTGGCAAGACCAGTGGCCGAGACCGAGACAAGTCCGAGTCTGAATACCAGCGAGTCCGAGACAAGTCCGAGTCCAAGACCGGACTCGAGTTCTACAGCCCTGGTTTGTACACTTGAGTAAATAATATTTTGTATCTTGTTTTATAGTAAAGATATCTAAACATGATTTATTTACCTAAGAAGGAAAACTGATGTTAATGCTATATAGAATGCAAGTGTAATTTGTCTTGTAGCATTGGCGGATTTTCTTAATTTGTATTTCACTTGTTTACTCTCAAAAAAAAAAATTTGTGGTGACAATCTATAGGGTTGGGCAACTTCAGTCCTGGAGGGCCACTGTCCTACAGAATTTAGCTTCAACCCTAATTTAAACACACCTGAACAAGCTAATCAAGGTCTTCGGGATTACTAGAAAGTTACAGGCAGGTGATTTTTTTCAGGGTTGGAGCCAAACTCTGTTGGACAGTGGCCCTCCAGGACCGACGTTGCCCATCCCTTCTACAGGGTGTTCTTGGTGGTTGGTAGACTGTTACAATGTGGTTGCTGATTGGTCCAAATAAAAAGAGCCCACCCTCAAGTCTATCAATATATTCTAGTGTCTTTATTTGGGTTCCTCCTTCAATGTACAGTTGAGTTCACTGGACATTTTTGGCCATTTTATCATCCGCCAAGTTGATCATCTAAAGTAATAGTACATAATTTAAGGTAACATTCATGTCTGTTACACAAAAAAAGGACAAAGTTTCAAATGTAGGTTAGGGTACTTAAGCAAGCACCACTAATAAGATTGCACAGAAAAAGCCTTAAAGTCCCTTTTAAATGTTCTTCCGTCAGTGCCTTTTATATTAGGCCTTAAGAGCTCTGCAAGTTCCCATAAGGGCAAAGATACAAGGATCCGCAGCAGAAATCTCCATCAGAAATCTCAAAGCCAGCCTCTTCGCAATCACGTAAGGAAAGAACCTGTGTGAGCGTACAGCTTAGTGCGATGTTTAGCGCAATCAAAGCTCAAAGGGAAGCCCAGAGGTGAGCCTTCGAAGCGGTTTTGTTTCTTCTGGGCTCTAGTTTGTCAGGCCCTCGGGGGCCGATGGAGATGAGGAAGGAGAAGGCGGCGCTCGGCAGCCAGCAGAGCTTAAATCACTCTCCATTTCACATACAGGAACACATGGGAAGGGGTAATAGTATGCGAAACCCTGGCAACCGGTCCAAGTCATCAGTTTCAATTCTTGCAGTGGTAGGCACGGTCCAGTGGCGCTGTAAGAAAGGACCCTAATCTGGAAGGAGGGCATGGGCGGTTATTACATTTCCTTTCCCACTTGATGCTTGAATGGGGGAGGTTCAAGGGGTTACACAGCCAAAATAGCAGGGGATATCGTAAAAGCCTCCTGGGACTTGTATTTTAGGCCGCTGATCGATTTCTGAAGGTGTTGTCGCTGACAAGGTTCTTACATTCCCCCCCCCCCCCCTTCTGCTTTTTTTTCACAGTTCTTCCGAAGGAACCGCAGGTGACGTGTCGATCAAACACCTACCCCAAAGGCTTCTACTGCAGTTGGCACCTTCAGCATCCGACGTTCATCCCTACGGACTTCGAAGTCAACGTCCAGTAAGATATTTTCTTGTCTGCCTTTTCTTTATGTGTGCAACTCCATCCGTCAACCCTCGCTTCCCGATCAGCCCCAACTTCCTTCTGTTTGCCTCTCGCTCCGTCTGTCATGTCATGCCCTCTCGTGTTCGGCAGAGGCTTTGAGACGCATTGAGCTCATCTGAATCAGTGATCTATGCGGTCAGACACTGTCTGCTGAGAGCTGATTAGGCCTGTCTGAGTCTGAGTGCTGGAACTCAAGGCAGTATAAGTGGACTCTCAACTGAAAGCCCCTCCGGATAACGCTGCACAGATTCAGTTCTCTTTCTCTCAACCCCACTCTCTCTCTCTCTCTCTCTCTCTCTCTCTCTCTCTCTCTCTCTCTCTCTCTCTCTCTCTCTCTCTCCTTCTGTCCACATCTGTCTGGACAATCATAAGGCAGCTTTATCCAAATGGGAAGCGTCTGAATCTACACTTTATGCACTACTTACTATTTCTGATGAGATTACTAATCTTCGTTTTAAATGGCTAAATATATTAATTCAATTATTTAAGGGTGTATAATCAGTGTCCTGTATACTGGACATTTGAAACTCTAATATAAGAACACATAGCTCATCGGAATCTTATTAACATATTTCCATACTTACGCCCGTTCAACCATGTACACGTCTGATCTTGGGAACTAAGCAAAGTTTGACTTGGTTAATACATGGATAGGAGACCAACTGGGAATATGTGAACCTGATTTTCAGCAAGTACAACAGCATATTTGTTGATCATGGAACAACATTCCATTCAACCAATCAGATTTGAGGGACAAGTTTACAGTTTGTCAAGTTTAGGCTTACAACCAGGCTTAGGTGTGTCTACATAAGTGTTATTCACAGATCATTTCCCTCTGATTTTAGGGATAAGTTAAGTTTAAGGGTAGGGATAGGGTTAGGAATACATTTTCGGACAGGAATGTTATTCCAGGATCAAAAAATATGGCAAAATCACAGTGATCATGGGAATAACAGGTAATGTAAGCTTAGTCCTGCAATGGATAAAATATTAATAAAAGCACAATTTAAAATGGAAGTTAATACCCTAATTAAACATTTTATTATAGTGTTGCAGCTTTTTTTTTTAAATAGTTTAGCCAATAGTTTACATTTGTACCTGCCCTGCCAACATTTTCAATGGTCTCACCACAAGATAATTATTTAAGTTTTAATTGAATATATATACATTTGTCAGCATGGAAAAAATACACTAAAGTTCAAAAGTTTGATGTCAGTAAGATTTTTTTTTGTGATACTTCAGCAAGGAATAAATTACTTTTTGAAATAAATTGCATATTCACTCAAAATACTTTGGTAACAATTTATTTTACAGTGTCCTACACTTATAGTTACTAGTAATAACTATTAATTATACATAATTACATCCAGCTGACCTTAAACCAAACCCTATTCCTAACCCAAACCCTACAGTAAGTATGTTGTAAATTAATATTACTCAAAACTTACATTTATAACACATGTACAAAGAAATATCTTGTTGAGCTGAGAAATGAATTTAAAAAAAATAGTTTTCAGTGGCTAATGCGTCGGATTTTAATAAAAAATTATAAATACCCACTAATCCAAAGGAACTAAGTGGTTGACTAAAGTGGACTTTAATCAAATAGCATTGACCTTGTTTCAACTCTATTAATAACTACTTAATAATCCATTAAGTATCATAAATTGTGCAGTTTGGGTCATTATACAGGAACATAATGTCAGGACTAGACATTATCTACATGACAAGTGATTTATGTATGAAAATAGGCTGCAAGGTTTGCGAAGTGTAACCTCAACAAAGCTTCATCAAAACCCAGTAAATGATTTCTGCAATGCACATGCAGAGCTAATATCAGGAGGTTTAAAGGTCAGCTACAAGTCCTCTGCCCAGACGGTACCCTGGGGCAAGCAAATGGCAGCCCCTAATTTAACATATCTGCTGTTCTTGTGCCATGCGGTACCACTGCAAAACATCAAAATGGAATAATAATGTTTGTTTCATCCGGAAATTATGGACATTTATTCCATACAACAATAACTTAGTGTTGCTGTTAAAGGGATAGCTCACCCAAAACTTTCACCCAAAATTCTGTCATCATTTACTCACCCTCAAGTTGTTCCAAACCTGTATGAATTATTGTGCTAAACACAGAAGAAGATATTATTGAAGAATGTGGGAAAACAAACCGTTTCTGGTCCCCATTGACTTCCATGGTATTCTATACTGTGGAAATGAGTGGGGACCAGCAACTGTTTGGTTACCCATATACTTCAAAACATGCTTCATGTTCGACAGAAGAAAGAATTTCATGCAGGTTAAGAAGTACTTGAAACTGTTGGCTTCACTTTCCCTTAAAGGACTGGTTTATGTAAATGATGTTGTCTTTTACTGTCCAAACCTGCATGAGGTGGTCAGGAGGTCTGCTACAGAAGATGACATTTTCTTTACATTTTTCAGACACAACCAGAGGCCCTTGGATGTGACGAGGGATGAAGTTCATAAGAACAGGTGTCACGTGAAGTTTCCAGAACTTTTCTCCAGCTATCCTTACCGGGTCAACGTCACAGCAGTGAACTCGCTGGGTCGAGCTTCCACCGCCATCAGCTTTGAGGAGTCTTCAATAGGTACGGTTTATATTACTAGTTCAGCATCTTGTTGAAAACGTTTTTCTTTTCTTTAGCTTTAATGTCGACACAGGCAATTGTGTGTGTCGTTTAACCGACAGACGCCATTTTGAAGTCATTTACAAGTCGTTTTGATGGAAACACATTCAAATTCTTGAGAAAAAAAAAATCACACGCAGAGTTGTTTTGAAAATTCCTATTCGTTATTAACCTTGGATGATTTACTGGTGATGAGCAAACAGACCTGGACAAAACATCTAGCTCAAATTTTCCAGACTCTGGTAACCTACAATCACCTCCTTTACTGAAATAACAACATCAATGCAGACCAACAGAGGTGAAGAAAATATATCTGATATATTGGTTGTTTGTTGGTGGTGTTTGTTGAAGTGGCTTCTGGCAACTAAATAGAATACTTACATGCATGGCTACATGTGTGCTTGATAGTAATAAAAATGCTAATGCCGTCTGGATCACTGGATTGACACCGAAAATATTTTCCCTCTGGTTCTAGTGTATATTTTATGGAAAATGGAATGCATTTCATATGCAACAGTGATTTGATTTCATTTGAAAAAGCAACGTATGATTAGCATACATTTCAGTGACAAGTAGGGAACATATTGATGGAAGTATCAAAGAAATAAATGGCCTCTCAATGGAACTAAAACAAGCAGACCATTACATTTGTACCACAACTACAGAGTACATGAGAACTAAATGGAATGCTTTTTTTGTCAGCCAGTCAAAAGTTGAATAATTTTGATAATTATTGCTCTAGAGAGTCCAGAGAATTGTCCTAGACTGGTCTGGTTCCGATCGGGTGAAAAACCAGGGACTAGTTCGCAAAAGTACGTTTTGGACAAAATTCGACATAGCGAAATCGGAGATATACATCTTGTCCGTCTTGAGCCAAGGATCACAGTGGTGTAAAAACCTCGTGGCTGAGTCAAACAGTCTAGAAATTATGAGCAATTAGTACTTTTGGTTGCTGTAGCGCCACCTATGGGCCAATCGGGCTCATACTCTGATAGGTTCTCCCCAATTTGAGGCCCTACCATCTGGCCAGGGTTCAAGTCTCTAGGCCTTACGATTTGGGCTGCACAATGCGTTTTAGGGGATTTTTTTTTTTTTTTTTTAATCCTTACAAATACAGTAGGTTTTCAGCACTTCGTGCTTGAACACCTAATAAGAATGAGACCTTTTTGACGGTTATAGCGCCACCTATGGTCCGATCTTCACGAAACTTTGCATGCTTCCTAACCATGTTAGGACACATATGCTCATCAATTTTTGTGAAGTTCTGAGTTTTAAAAATAAAATAATTTTCTTAATCCAGATTTTATAAATTAAAAATATTGAAATGCATTATATATATATGACTTAGTTTTCCTACTCCATTGCTACATTTTTTCCCCCTTGTTTTAAGCAAAAATATAACCAGATTTTAGTGAGGTTTATGCTTAAAACAAGGTAAAAAAAAAAAAAGAAGAATATTTGCTTCTAAAGTGAGCAATTTATCTTGTCTACAGGACGTTTAGATATTTCACTGGGGGAAAAGATTACTGATTAAGAAAAGGAATTTTTGCAGTCTAGCCCTCCCTCTTAGCATGCCAAGACGTAAAAAAAAAAATTTGCATCCGAATAGCTGACATCTAAACAACATCAACAGTGTTTGAAAGTCGTAAAGAGTGTTTCGCTCAAGCCAGGTCAAGGCCTGAGCTATAAATCCTGAACCCACTATGTGTCTGCTATGAATAGTAAAGGGAACGGGGCTCAGAAACATCTCTTTGTCCTTGTGTGTATGTGTTTGTGTGTGAGTGAAGCTAAAACCGCAGTGCAAACAGAATGATCCTTGGACACCGCAGCTTGAGAAGAAGAGAAAGGCCACTCTGTTGCTCTCCGCTTATTTCCCATAAACCTCAGGATCTCCTCATATTCAGGGGACGCCTTCGCTCAAAAGACATCTCGAGAAATGTCACAGTGTGGCTTCTTTAAAAGACGTGTGTGTTATGTCAAACTGATTTTCTGCTCAGAGGGACGAGCTGGGGATCATAAAGAGGAAATCTCAACACTATTCATCATTCATCTCTTTTTCCATTGTAGTGTTTTGCTAGTGGCATTCGTCATGAGTGCTTCTTTCTGTTCAGCCATTAAAAATGTGTTCTTGTTGTACTGATCCTTGTCAAAGCTCATTTATCATTAGCATCTCAACATTTGAGGCAGTTCCACGCTTCCAAACTATGTTAAATGAACTTTTCTTACTCTCGTGACATTGCTAAACCTATATGACTTATTTAATTTGTATAACTTCTAGGAAACGCTAAATGAGAAATTTAGCACAATGTTCAAGCTGCTCTTTTCCATAATGAATGCGTAGAGGCTGTCGAGCTTAAAAAAGACAAAGTACCTTAAAAGGAAACGAAAAGTTTCCCAGATACTCATAAGACGAGACATTATATAGGCACAATTTATATTCTGGAGGTTTTCAGACAGGGTTTTGTTCATGTCATTCACCTGTTTATTTTATAAAATGTTAGTCTTAAGAACATTGTGATTTTGTTTCTTCTTTTTTTCTGGATTTTGACAAGTTTTTCTGATAAAAAAACAAAAAAAGATATCAAAAATCCCCAGAATGAAATTTACTCTAACATGTAAACACAAAATGAAGAAATCATTTTGAACCTGGCTTTTCATATTTTTGTTCTGGAGATGTATGCAAATTAATGCATATTTAATTAGATCATTTGCATACTTTAAAACAGTTTTTTTTGTCAAAATATTGTTAAAGTACTGTGATCAATCAACTAGGGTGAAATCTAGTTAAAATGTGTGTCCTATTCAACTGTATTTCTTCCAGTAAAACGAGTTTTTTTATGTGACTCGTTAGAATATGACCATGTGTGAAAACGATTTGAGAACTTTTTCTCCATCTGTGTTCCACAGAAGAAAGAAATGAAATTCTGATGACAGAATTAATTTGAGGGGATTTATTCCTTTAAAATATGATACCTTTGATAGGTCATGAGCTTACATCGACGTCTCTTTGGTCCAACAGTGAAACCTGACCCCCCTGAGAAGGTGGTGGCCAAACCCATAGCCAACAATGCACGAAGACTAGAGGTGACCTGGAACAGTCCCACAACGTGGCCCGATGTGGAGACCTTCCCGCTGAAGTACTTTCTGCGCTACCGACCGCTCATCCGAGACCAGTGGCAGCACGTAAGTGTGGACCAACACTGTTGTAGCTTCATGTCCATCTTCGTTGCATCTTTAACATTTATGCTGAGCACATATGCTGTGTGAACTCTAGATTATTAATGATAGCATTTTCATAAACCCGACCAGCTGGTATTTTGGGCAAGTCGGTCAAACAATGTAGTCTTGCTGGATAACTAACAAGCTCCAACTAGTTTAAATATTTCAACAAGCCAGTTGTCTGTGGCTCAGCATCCCACAAGCCAAGCACACCTTACTTGTTAGCGTGCAGAATATAACATATACTGGCGACCGGCCTTTTCTGCAAGGTTTTGAGTAGTGTTGTAGACATGTGTCTTTTTTTTTTTACAAGAATACAGCATCCTTTGGGGTCAAAGTGGGCTGGTGTGATTTGGTTCCATTGTCAGGTCTCCGCATGAGTCCAATTGTGTCCCTCGTGCTCTACAGAATGAGACCAGACATGTTCTTTGGAAAATGATTTGCTCACTAAGACGTCAATCAGAGTTTTGAAGGCATCTGAAAGTAGGTGATTTATTACCCATACTTTCATTTGTTGCCATACTGCTGAATGAGAGCACGTTACACCAGCCAGTCAAATACTATTTCTTAAGAAGCCCCTTGGGATTCTTGCATTTATTCCTCTTACATATCAAGGCTGAAAGTAGATGTTGCGTCATGCTTATTTCCATTACTTAAGCTCTTTAAGTAGATGAGCACATCTTACTCTATAATCTAGTTACTGCCTCGCACAAGAAAATTGAGTGTTTCAGAACTACTTCAAATTGTTTTGTTTTTTTTGTGAGAAATATGAAATTAAACTACCTGCTCTGGAGGAATGGGATGTGCAGTTCAGAGGAGTTAGGAATTTCTAACTTCAGCTTGAAAAATGTCAATATTCAGTAAAATTTTGATAGCATGGGGAATATTTACACAAGATTAAAGGCATAAAATCTGAACAGTATCTAAGTTATAATTGTGGGCCCAGGGCATGACATTAACACCCGCCAAATGTGGGTGTATTTCAGCGTTGGCGTGTAACGCAGTCACTCCTACTAGCCACTTTGGCAGGTTGAATTGTATATATATATATATATATAATATATATGTATTTTTCAATTGTAGTCTTTTAAAAGGACATCTGAAAATAATAAACTGAGTGCAATGTAGTTGTCAAAAATATCGATTTCTCGCTCTCTCTCATCTCTCCGACAGCGAGTTACACACAAACCCGCCTCTCCTCACACACTCGCCTTAATTTGCTCCGGATGAATATTGTTGGTTACAGGGCTTGAATTTCGGCTTGGGATTGCGTGTATTGCGCATCATTTTACTCATTCCCGCATATGTTATGCTCACACCCAAAGTGCGCGCACGTAAAGCCGCCTCTCAGTACTGAATTGAGTTATCGTCGCTGCTTATTGAACTTAAACAGACAAATACACACAAAATAATGTCGAAATGCCGGTTGGCGAGTATCCACATGAACACAGTCAGTTATGTTTTAGGTGAACTTAAACAGTTCAGAAAGAAAACGCACTTGTAACAGTATAATGTATACATGTGTCAGGTCTAAAAGCGACAGTAGCCTAATATACCTGATGCCAAAATATAATAATAAAAACATCTATATGGGAGTTTTTCCCCATGGTATCGATGTCAAAATACCTGATCGTGGCCATTTTCAAAGTATTTTCGTATCAACTGAAACTCTGCTGTCTGAATTCTTGCTGGCAAAATGTATTGATTTAAATAGGAATTCACAGGGGAATTTTTGCTCTCGTCTTCTATCTACCTGTACTTGCAAACACCAGCTAGTGTTGTGTAATCGTAGTCATGGATGATGTCATGCTTCACTACAGAGCACATCTCATCCCTCGTTACACAGAACCCAACTACTAAATTTCCAAAACAACTATTACTCAGTGCCATACGAATCCTATTTGAGTTCCCTGAGACCACTACTCATCTGAAACAAACCATATCAGCCCGCACACAAGCTCATATCAGCTTGCAGCAAAGACCATATTGAGCTCCATCACGACAAGGTGGAAACCTCATCAGTCTTCTGCAGGGCCGCGTTTCAGCTGTGCCTCATATGTGTACTCACGTAGTGCATCACGACGAGAGGGCTTCAGAGAGATGAAAGAGCCAGCTCGGCACGGGGAGCTTGGTGTAGGGAAGCCATTCATTCTGCTGAGGAATGAGAGGATGGCAGCTGGAACAGTCCTCGCTGAGCGATGGGTGCCTCAAAGCTGCCTGGGATCTGACGCCAAAATATGGCATGGAAACCATCAAGCGCTCGCGGCTAGCGGACAGTGTTAATAAATTAACTTCCTGTTGTATTTAGGTGCAGGTATACAAACATAACTCAGATTTTAATATCTCCAATTTCTGTGTTCTCAGAGTTGTCTAGAAACACATCTAAAGGCCCCCCAATATCCCCACGGCAAAGTCCTTTCGCGTTATTCGTTGAGGGGTAAAAAGAAGTTTGAAATACCATTGCAGTGATATACTGTTAGCAAACATCCACAGTTGAGAACGACGTTTAGATGAATATGTAAATATGTGCTGTGCTTTCCTCTTAATAGCAAAAGAAACTGACAGCGGTGAGAAAACAGCAGTTAAGTATCTGATCATAGCGATGAGGATGTTTGCACCAGCTCTGTGATTCAGTGCTCCAGTCACATCACATTTATTAATATAGCAGTTTATACAATAGATTTCTTCAAAGCAATAAGCTTTACATTTAAACAGGATAAAAGAAAACCAGTGTCAGTGTCCCTTTCAATTAAAACTTCATTTTCTACAATAAAGCGGCTCTCCTGTGTGTTCATGTTTTGTCTGACCTCGACGGACTCAACAGAGAAAAATGAACCGGAGAAGATTTACCCCTTTAAAGAAGGCGGAGCCTCGGAGCCACACCCACTTATTACGTAATCGTAATGGACCAATGGTAGCTTTGGCAAGATGCTTCTCCAGAACTCCAGAAACAAACTCCTAACGAACTTTATTTTGTCGTTATTTTGTGTCATCACAGCAGTTTTTTTCTTCGATTTTACTTCAAGTATATCGGGGTGTTCTGACACACTTTTTTCTATTCTTTTCTTAACAATCTAGATTGTTAAAAGAGCTATATAAATGAAGGCGACTTGACGACTTTGAGATCTACAGTTTTAGGTAGACAGGTAGGTGGGCACAAATTCAAAGTACTTTTATAGACAAAACACAGAATTTTGTGTCGCATTGATGAGCATAAGTTAATTTTGGATTCATTATATAAATAGTCTGGTAATTAGGACTTAGCATTTTTTTCAGAGGAAAGGACAAAAAATTGTCTGCCATCTGTTCTGAAATCACACATAGGAACACAGTGAAACCTCTAAATTAAGACTCATTTGGATTCACTCACGACTGCTTTGGCACAGAAGAGTTTTAATTCATTTAAAGGAACAGTTCACCCTAAAAATGATGTCATTTCAAACCTGTATGACTTTATTCAGTGGAACACAAAAGAAGATATTTTGAAGAATGTTTCCAAAGTAGCCAAAAATTCAAGTCATTGGGGTCAATTTCATTGTATGGATCAAACAAAATTTTGTGTTCAACAGAAGAAAGAACGGCATATAGGTTCGGAACGATGTAAAGGTGAGTAAACGATTTAAACAATGACCCATTAAACATATCACAGCTATATTGCAAGATCAGAAAAACAAACTCTACTTACAAAACATCTCATCTGTACAACAAGTAATAGTTTGGTCTTGGCGTATTGGTTGAAACCTAACATTAGAAACGATTTTCAAAACAAAATGTGTGGCCTCACATATGTAATTATAGAGTAGAAATGTCATTTTTGTTGAACGGCTCAAATAAATGACTGGACTGAGAAATTCACTGGATCAATGTTTCTGCTTAGTTTTAATTGATGGAGCTGAGATGAAGAGGCATATGGTGCAGCCCGAGCTTTAAAAAGCACTGACATTTAACGGACGACTCTAAGAGCAACGGAAGTGTGGAGTAATTATAAGAGAGATATGCATACACTCACACCCACTGAGGGATGATCTTTAAAAGTTTTCATTCCCTCGAAGGTGTTTGGGAAGAGATTATAAGACATTTACTGAAAGTGGGAATATATCGGTGACTTTCTCTTTTGAAATGATCGGTATTTTGAGAGGTGAATTCTTTAATAATAAACAGGGCTGATTGTTTGGATGTTCTCTGCCTTTTAATTCGTACAATAATTGTATATGTGAAAATTGACAAATTCCTAATGAGGTTCATTTTTAAGTTGCTTTGTATAAAAAATGATGCGTAATTGATGATGCCGATGGCGTAAATGCATCATTTTGTGTGTGGATTGCATCGATGCATCCCACTTTTTTACATTTATCCCCTATGATGCCGAATCTGGCTCTCAGGCATGCTCCAAATTTTCAGGACTCACATTGGTATTCTCGGCAAACCCACAATATTTGAATAAAACAGTGGTTTATTAATGGCAGAAGTTACAGTTATTATTTATTGGTAAATTAAACAAAGGGTTAATGGACTAATCGGAAATTAATCTATAAATCTAAAATGTTAGATTAACCAACTAATCAAAAAGATAATCAATTATTTGATTGAAAAATAATCATTAGTTGCGGCCTTATAAAAAGCGTCTGCTAAAGGAATAAATGTAAACGTAAATGTGAATTTTTAGAACCAGATGGTGTAGTTACAACATCTACCAGCAGGGGCTAAAAGGCTATGCTAACCTGCAAAAATGTTTAACCTAAGACTTTAAATATACAAAGACGCTGCACTCATATTACTATGAATGGGAGAATTCGCAATATAAATTAAAAATATAATCCAGATTAAAGAGCCATTCACCACCTATTCACCCTTCGCCTATCCGCCATTTTGTCAGCCAAACGAACCAGACAGTAGAGTTAGTAGATTAACATTGGTGGACTTGAAGTTAAAAATGGTGTGTATTGGTGTCTTTCCGCGGTTGA